AATAGCACTTTTTATAATTGTTTGAAAGGTGAAAATATTTTGTTTTAATTGTGTAAAATATCAGAATGGATGATTGTACTGTTAACCCTAAGGTCACAGTTTCAAATCTACCAGCAGCTCCTTGGAAACCCTGTACAGGGTTGCTATGAGTGGGAACTGACTCGATGGTATTTAACAACAGCAAAATAGATGAAAAATTATCATTCTTTATTCAATATACACTTAACTGGTTCTTGACATTTTAGTAATAATCTCCACCAGGCAGCATAATTTAATAACATTGGTCAGTATTACTGCCGATCACTGGCTACTCCAAAACTAGTTAAGTTGTTGGATAACAAATGAGAAAATATCACACTGCAGGCAATATTTACCCATCCAGCAGGCAAAACAAGAAAATGAAACCCAGGCAGAGAGCCCTCTAATGTTACTCAATCAAGGCTAGTTATTTATTGTTTTCTGCACATGAGGTCCCATGGGGCATAAAATATTGATTTAGGAATTTGCAGGGTATGAATGACTGTGCGTTGTAACTGTGTTCTTTTACATCACTTGTTAATATATAATAAATTATTTCTATGTACTCCGTAATGAGGCTTAGTAAGAAATTAAATCCAGGCATTTAATAAACATGACATGTAAGCATTAATAATGCTCTTTTTATAATTACTGCCTTGAGGCCAGAAAACTTCATTGTTCACATCAAAGTCTACCTGAAGCTCTTAACAATGGCATGACCTCTGATGCATCCCACAAACCTGATTCCAATCTTTCTGAGAGTGGGGTTCAGAGAGCTGGGCCTCTTTCGTAGTTTTTTAGGGCTTCTCGAAGCCGGAAGACTGGACCAGGGCTCTAAGTATGGGGAGGGGCTAAATCAGACTCAGAGAGTGTGGGAAGAGGAGTGATATTATCTGAGCAGAAGAGAAAGAGTGTGGAGCAACTGTGAAGGGAAAAAAGCAAAAGAACAATGGCCACGAAGGATGAAAGATAGCAATAGGACAAGTTAGTTCATCAGCAAAATATCTTTGCTCTGTAATATTCTACCAAATACATTATCCTATCTATGTAATACCCAATGCTAAAAATGATGGTGAACCATTAAAGCACGACACTGTTTGCTCACTTCACTCACTTTTACTTCTTACACACACAAAATAAATCAGCATGGTAGTTGGCAACAGTCTCTGGAGCCAGATTGTCTGGGTTCTAATCTAGGTTTTGCTATTTTCTAAGACTGTGATTTTGAGCAAGCTGATTAAGTTCCTTTGACCTCCATTTCCTTCAAAACAAGGATAACAAAAAACATCTCTCATAATATACGCTGTTGCTGTTAAGTGCTATTGCGTCAGATCTGACTCATAGCAACCCTGTATAGGGTTTCTCAGGCTCTAAATCTTTGTGGGAGCAGAAAACTTCATCTTTCTCCTGCAGAGTGGCTAGTGGCCTCCAATGGCTGATCTCAGGGTTCTCAGTCCAGTGCAAGCTACTGTGCTCCTTTGTAAGATTATAGCGAACGAAAATACGAAATATGTATCAGACTCAGTGACACACAAGAACAACATGCGATGCATATAGCTCTGTGTGAATCCTTGTGTGGTGCTGTAGGATAAGCACTAGATTGCTAACCACAGTTTAAACCCACTAGCTGCCTCTCTGGAACAGACCCAATGGCACTTAACAAATAACAACATGTATTCGACGGCATTTAACAACAACAACAACAACAACATGCATATATGGGACTCCTGGTGTGGTGTTGTAGGATTAGCAATGGACTGAGAACCACAAGGTTAGCAGTTAAAACCCATGGGCTGATCCGTGGAAAACCTATACAGGGTAGCTATGAGTTGAACTGACTCACCCACACTTAACAATACCTCATACATCATATACCTATATCATGTTGTGGTCTTGTGTGTCATTAAATCAATTCTGATATATAACATTTTATATGACAGAGTAGAACCGCCCATAGGGTTTCCTAGGCTGTGGTCTTTACTATAGCAGTGTGGAGCAGCTGATGAATAAAAACACCAATTTTTCTATTAGCACCAAGCACTTAACAACTGAAGCATCCAGACTCTTTACATTGTATGCCAGTGCCTGGTACCTGCTATATATGTTAAGTGCCGTCCATTCAGTTCCAACTTATAGTGACCCTGTATAGGGTTTCCAAGGAGTAGATGGTGGGAGTGAACTGCCAACTATGCAGTTCAAACTGACCTCAAGGCTGCATACTGACCCTATGGTGCCACACCAGGACTTCCCTGGTATACATATGTGTGATTAAGTGTCATCGAGTCAGTTTCGACTCAATGTGACCCTGTATAGGGTTCGCAAGGAGTGGATGGTGAGTTTGAACCCCAACCTTTCAGTTCAAACTGATATTGTAGTCAAGTGCTTTTCTTATAGCACCATGACTCCAGTGTGTGTGTGTGTGTGTGTGTGTGTGTGTGTAGTGTAGTGTAAAAATGTTAGGTAGAATGATCAAATTCACTATTGCTTTGTATTTAACTTTTGTAGGCCTTGTTTCCCAAACTTTTTGTGAGTCCCTGATGAGTTGCGTAGTGTTTTAGTTACCTAATGCTATCACAAGTGGTGGTCTTAACAGGAATTTATTTTCTCTCAGTTCTGGAGAGAAAGTTCAAATCAGGGTTTTGACGTTCCTTTTTGGTAGCCCTGGACATTCCTTTGTTCTTTGGTATTCCTTGGCCTGTAGATGACCCTCACATGGATCTGGATTCCTGCTGAGTGTGCCTCTGTGTCTAGTCTGGTTTGTTTTTTTATAGCTCAGAAGTGACTAGGTTTTGGATCTATCCTAATTGATATGATCTCATTATGATAAAGAAAAACACTTTATAAACAGGATCAAACCTATCCATGCAAGGGTCAGGAAATAAACATATTTATTAGAGGAGGAGGTTGAAACCATAAGAGGAAAGTACTTCTATTGTATTATCAATATTTGTTTTTGTTGTCCCATATGTTGAGGCTCTAGTTCTCCCTTGTTCTCAGTTCATACAATTTAGTGGCTGGTCCGGTCAGTCACTTCTGGAATCCTTTTCCCTCAGAAAGAGTATGTAATCCTACACAGAAAAAGGTCATGTTGGTATCTGAGATGTCTGGCTTTAAGGTCACGCAAACCTGGAGCCCTGGGCGTGGCCCTCTTTGTCCCTGGAGGGTGTGCCTGCTTGAGAATAGAGACAACATTGAAGAATATAGGGTTATAGCCCCTGATGACATTATTTAAGTTCCTGAATTCAGTCTTGCATGAATTGAGTCCTCTTTGGATTTTCTGATTTTCTAAGGAAATAGACCTCATCTTTGGTTTAAATTATCTTGTGCAGGGTTTGGAACCAAAGTATGCTACCTAATTTACATTTTCTTCAGATACCTTGGTCTGTACGGTCCTCTTTGATGTTGATGATCTTGTATAAGGACTATACAGACAAGGGGAACCCTGATGGTGCAGTCTGCTTCCCAAAGGTGACAGCTTGGAGACCTTGTAGGTCAGCCCTAGTCTGTCCATTAGGGTTGCTGTTAGTGGGAATAGATTCCATGACACATACAAAGCAACCACAATATGTTTATTGAATATGTAAATAAGCAACATTAAGACAAAAACAAGAACAAAAAACTCTGAGAGTCCATTCATTTAATCTCTGAGCATTATCTTGCCATCCTAGGAAATTTCAAGTTTTAATGTACATATATCTTGACAGAGGAACACATCATTTTATAGAGAAACACATGATGTAGTCCTGAGGATCTTGTTGGATGAATCCAATTGCTAAGAAAACTGCTTGTAAGAGGAGACCAGAGACGTAGAGCCTGAAGACCTCAGTTCTGTTCATTCCTTAACCTTCGTGAGCACAATTCTTTATACAAAAGATGGGAAAAATAATACAGTATTGGTGATAGGGTCAAATCACGAACCTAAAGATGTCTTAAATCGTTGTTCTAATCAAATGCAAGGAAGAGGCACATCTTAAAAGCATACAGGATCACAACTAGGTCACGCTTGTGACCTTTGGTGGATTACTAGGTGTACTCTTCCCTTAATATCCCCAGGAGCTCCAGAGGCGAAGTGAGATGTGGGTACATTAGAGGAGCTTCTAACAGGCCCTTTGTCTCTCCTTGCATATCAACACCTGTGAGCTCCTTGAGATACTTTTAGCTACAAGGTGAGAAGTACCTATTCCAGTGCTCTCCTTGAATTTTGCTCCAATCCTCTCTTTTGAATGATGTGGGAGTCGCTCAGCAGTCACCTTGCTATTCCCCAGAGTGTGCTTTTTGAGATCCGGTTTCAATCCCTGGTGGGTAGCTTTCAGGTCCCGTTACAATTCCCCAGAGCTCCAGTGTGTGTGTGGAGGGAGAGAGCCAGGGAGAACCCGAGAGAGGGGCCGAGACTCCAGTTACGCCCCGCATGGTCCCCGCTGGTGCCGTGGAGTGCGCGACAAGTCAGGCAGCGCCGCGGCCCCTTTAAGAGCCGGGCCCAGGCCGGCGGAGCAGCGGAGCGGAGAGCGCACCGCGGAGGAGTTGGGAGACGGCGCAAAAGTTTCCTCCCAACTCCGGCCTCGCGCGCCGCCGCCACCGCCGCCGCCCACTGCAGCTTGGGGCCTGCGGCCGGCCGGCTGCCGCCAGCAGGGCCGGGAGCCATCAGTTTCATTTCGGCGGAAGCAGAGCAGCTGCCTTGGTCGGGCGAGAGGAGGTGGAGGTGGAGCCGGGCCCGTGCAGCCTCCTGGTCCTGGGCTACCCGCCTCCTGGGAAGTAGCCCTTCCCGCGGTCGCCTGCTCCACATTTTCGTTCCCCTCCTGTCCCAAGGCAGCCTGTCGGGGGGAAAGGGCACTGCCGCAAGTCCCCAGGCCAGAGGGGCCGCTGGGGAAGCTGTCCTGGGCCTCCAGGCTTGCCTGTGACGTGACCCCCCACGGGAGTGGGGGCTGCACCCGCAGGGCCAGACACCTGTTTGGCCCGGCCAGGCGTGGTCGCCGGGGACCAGGATGAAAGTGACCGTGTGCTTCGGCAGGACCGGCATCGTGGTGCCCTGCAAGGAGGGCCAGCTATGTGTCCGAGAGCTCACGCAGCAGGCCCTGCAGCGATACCTGAAAACCCGAGAGAAGGTGAGCGCTGAGCTGGGGACACTCGGGCAAGGCGGATGCAGGGGGCGCGGCTGCGGGCTATCTGTGAATGCCCAGAGGCCAAGGCACCTGCCAGGTACTGGGAGCCCTGGGTGGTGAAGCTCAGGAGAAGCTGAGCAAGCCAGTGGCCTTATTAGTCATCACCTGTGGCCACAGTTTTGTGTGTGGATACCTAATATCAATGATCTGAGTGTGTGTTTGGCTCTGGGGACGCAAAAGGCGTTGAGAGCTGTAGCAAGGCAATCACTAGGGGCTGGAATCCAGTCTCAGAATCTGGTGGTTTTTTGTTTTGTTTTGTTTTGAAAACAAGATCCCCAGGTTACTGGAATGACCATTGACGTTTGTGATAGACAGGCACTGGTTTAGAAGTTGTCTGAAGGGACATCTCAAGTTGTGATTTTTGACTATTCAAGAACATACCCACTAGAGCTTCTTGGAGTTAATTTCGATTGGTGCAAATAACAGATCCTCAGAGGTTGTAACTGGTGGGGCCTCATAACTTTCTTCTCTCAGTGATTTGGACAGGAACTCAGATGGGAAGATGCTGCTTGCTTACACCAGGGTACATTTTTAGCTCATCGCCACACATTCTTTTCTGTGTGTGAAGGCTGTCAAGTCCTGAGTGGCCAACGAAATGAAGAAAACTCTTCCCAGCCCCCTGTATCAGAATACACAGCAAATATATATTCATTTCAGTGACCAAAGGGCACATTTTGCAAGCCAGCTTCCTGCACTCCAGCACACAGCTTGTCTTATTCCATTGGTCTAGAGTCCTCAACTGATCTGTCTCTATGTCACCACCTCTGTTTCCCTCTCTGGTTAGGATCCCAGGCTCCATTTATGCTCTTCCCTCTTGGTGGTCTTAGTGCCCTCTGTACCTGGAATGAAAGAGTAACTACAACCCCCTTTTGTTACACATGTTCTACCTTGACAGTTGTGACAATCCAATCACAATTAGACATGATAACAATTACTCATTGTTGAATCAAAAGAATCCTATTCCCAACCTCCTCTGGACCCTTGTAGAGAAGAGGAAAACTATTCATTGGGGATTCTCCCCTAACCTCTTTGATCTGAAACTAAACAAACTCTTGGAAACTTGTAAGCCAGCCACTTTGCGCATTTATAGCCCCCCATTTTTTGTAGCCAGTTTCCAAGTTGCCATCCCTATTAACCCTGTATACTGAGGGGATAGGCTTGATCCTTGGTATGAAGACTCCTTCCCTCTCTGTTGGACTTTTGAGCAACTACATCCATAAACAAAAATCAAGTTCATCAAATTGTAGCAATTTTCACTTGCTTCCTGTATCAAACTTCGTTATCTTTTTCTAGTCAGGTACTGATCAGCAAGCCATTCAAGCTAGGTCAAATGGATACTATCTGTAAGTTTGGACGTTCTTGCATGCTTCCCTCCACTTCATGTCAGCTGGATGTTTCACTCTCAACCCTAGCCACCAGTGGCTGGATCAGTGTCCATGCGCTCAGGAGTTTGCAAGTCTCCTTTCCACCAACTTTTGGAAGCCCCTTGTATTAAATTTAATCTCCCAAGCTGAACTTTTTACTGATGGACTTTAGGTATAGATGACAGAAAAAATTCAAAGTGCCCTAAAAAACTAGATGGGAATCTGCCCCAACATATGTTGCCATTGCTAAAATGTATTGTTAGGTGCCATCGAGTTGGCTCAAACTCTGAGGAACCCTATTAGCACAATAGGAGGTGTTTCACCACCCTTACAATTGTTAGGTGTGAGCCCCATGCTGCTGCCACGGTGCCAATCCATCTCCTTGCGGGTCGTTTTCTTTTTCAATGACCCTCCACTTTATCAAGCATGATGTCCTTCTATCCAGGGACTGATCTCTCCTGATAATATGGCCAAAATATGAGAAATGAAGTCTTGTCATCCAGTTTTCAAAAGTGGATTCTGGCCATACATCTCCCTACACAGATTTGTTTTTTCTTCTCTGACACCATAAATCAAGTGCATTAATTATACTACTATTTTCCTTATTCACTGTCCAGCTTTTGCATGCATATGAGGTTACTGAAAATACCATGGCGTGGGTCAGGCACACCTTAGTCCTCAAATTCATCTCTCTGCTCTTGAACACTTGAAAGAGGTCTTGTGCAGCAGATTTGCTTAATGCAGTACAATGTTTGATTTCTTGTGTTGATTGTATATTCAAGCAAAACGATGTCTTTGACAACTTCAGTTTTTTCTCCTTGTATCATAGTGTTACCTGTTGGTGCAGTTGTGAGGATTTTTGTTTACTTTACATTGAGGTACAGTTCTTCAGTAAATATTTTAATTTGGGAGAAATATGAGGCTTTCTGCTCCCATAAAGATTTGTAGCCTTGGGAACACACTATATAGGGTTACTGTGAGTCAGAACTGACTCAGCAGCATACAATCACCACCAGCACCATAACAGTGTTGTTGTTATTAAGTGCCGTTGAGTCGGTTCCGACTCACAGTGACCCCCGTAAAAGGTTGCCAGGGAGCGGCTGGTGAGTTTGAACCATTGACCTTGCAGTTGAAACTGCCCTGTGGTGCAGTACTTTATTCTACAGTGCCACACCAGGGCTCCGCAACAATAGTATGTGGTGATTATAGTTTGTATATCTCAGTTATTAAAAACTGGGAGTGGCACAAAGTAATCAATGGTCTTGAGAATAATATTCCATTAACTTCTGAAGATGTAGTTAAGTGCCATCAAGTCGGCTCTGACCCATAGCGACCCTGAACAGGGTTTCCGAGGCTGTAAATCTTTACAGGAGCAGAAAGCATCATCGTTCTCCCGCAGAGCAGCTGGTAGTTTCGAACTGCTGACCTTGCGGTTCGCAGCCCAATTTGTAACCACTACACTACCAGAGCTCCTTAACTTCTGAAGATGGGGTAAGATTAATAAGTAAAAACGTTGCTTCTTCTTCTAGCAAATTATTAAAATAGATTTTGTTGAAGAATTGTCTTACAGAGATAGAGTTGATAAAAATAAAGTGAAAAGATATTCTCTTGTAGATTTAATTTAGGACATGGAAGCTGTTTTAGAGCTAATGATAAGCTTTTTGTTGTTGTTAAGTGCCCTTCCCACTCATCGGGCCTCTATAGGGTTTCTGCCACCTTGCAGTTCAAATCAACCTTGGAGTCCAGTGCTTCTCCTACAGTGTCACACCAGGAATTCAGGGGTAAGCTAAAAACTTGTAAATAAGGTATAGATGATTGTTTAATGCATTGTAATTTTATCTTAAAAAGTGTTAAAAAGCTATTGATATTCAGGACTAGAAGCATAGTTGATAATATCACAGAATCTATAACATAATTGCATTGATCACTTTACTGTTATGACCAGACATTATATTTTCAGTGTTTACTTTTATATATTAGTTGAATTTGACATTTAAAGGTCACCTGCAGCTTATAAATCCTCCCTCCCTCTTCTGGCTTTTAAAATCTCAATTTAATAAGTGACAAGTGATATTTTTCCCTTTCCAAAATATTCCTCTCGCATAGTTTCATTTTAAATAATATTGTAATCACAATGAGGCTTAGCTAATATTAAATGGTATTCTTAATGGGACTAAAATGTCAGGAAATAGTCTGACAAATTCGATGCTTTTATCAATTGAATTTAGAAAATAATGGGAGAAGAACAGAAATGCCAAAATTCAATTGAAAAAAACAATTTGTAATAAACTCACTTTTTTTGGATCAGTGGGAGATTTAAGACTTCGCTCTCCTTAAAGCAAGCGTTGAAGCCTTGAGCTCCAAACACAGGAACAGCTTGTGGATGATGCAGGTTCAGTTCCACACCACAATTAAGTGACTTTCCTAAGAAGCAAGTCACACATTAAGTAAGTCCTCATCAAGGATCTCTGGTAGTATAGTGAGAATCAGGCTGCGATTCTCAAGGTCAGCAGTTCGAAACTACCAGC